AAGTAAGTAAGCAAACAAGCATATATATATATATATATATATATATATATATATATATATGTGGGGTGGGTAAAGTGAACATTGAGGTCTACACCCAGCAGTGACAGTCTGTTTCAAGTTTAAACCAAATCTTAAGGATGAAGTATGTAATGGACTATCACCTCTCATTGTTGACCCCAGTGTTCACTTTTATATGTACATACACTCTATCCTTAATATTGAGTACTTTTGCATAAATATATATATATATATATATATATATATATATATATATATATATATAGATAGATAGATAGATAGATAGATAATATTAGTGGTAAATATACACATACATATGCAAAATATATAAATATATATACATAGGTGCATACACATACATGTATATATTTAATAAAAAATACAAGAGGATAGAATCCAGGTAGAACTCAATGTTCAGGACAGAGTAAGGATATAATAAAAAGCTTAAACACTAATATTCCATGGTCATAATTTATTCCATTGGAATCGTAAATACGATCCAATTTATCAGACCTACAAATTCCTACAATGGAATATATATATATATATATATATATATATATATATATATATATATATATATATATATATTTGTGCCTGCATATATATATTTATATATATATATTATTTTATGTGCATATAATTTGTGCCACACAAATTTTCTGGTTATATGTTGGTTGAATCCATCTTTTCAAATTCTTCAAAATTGATCACAGACCAAAATACATGCATATATATATATATATATATATATATATATATATATATATATATATATATATATACTCAATCTTCGACATAAAGCTATATTTGCCAAAAGAACAGCTAAATTAAAAGATTGCTCAATACAATGTTCATAAAATGAAAATCTTCGGCAAATTAAGATATATTCAAAACACTCTCCTTCCTGCAAACATGGTTTTTACTAACATGGCTTTATCAGGCAGCAAGTCTGATTTGGTGTCTGATAAAACCATCCTGATAGAAAGCATGATTGCAGGAAGATCAGTGTTTTATATATATGTATGTATATATTTTATATATATATATATATATATATATATATATATATATATAAAAAGACAACTTTGGAATTATCTTTATTTCTCAATTATTTCAGATAATTTTACACTACCTCCTTTTTGTTTTCATTATAAATTTTCAAACAGTCATTTTATATAGCTAGAATAATTTTGTTACTCTTATTACAAACAACTGAAGTTTTTGTATTAATCCATACCTTACTATCTTCTAGAAATGTTATTGTTTGCCTTTCTGTTAGCAAGCATTTTACAACAGCCATCTACATTATTAAATGTGTTTTCCTGTTTACATCATTTACCCAAATTTAATTGGTGTTTCCCAATTTGCCATGGATGCATGAGAGTTATTTTAGAAAGTGTCTAAGAAATACAAAGCCATTGTTATCATTTGCTCACACTGAGAATATTTGTCAAAATGAAATCTTTGCCTCTTATATTTAAGATGTTCTCTAACAAATTGAATCAGTTTGTATTCTGTGTATATGTTAAATTCTGAATCTTATATACAGAAGAAAATATTTGCCAGTGAGAATTTAAATCAAAGAAAAAAATTATGATGTAAAGAATTCAAGTATCCAAAGTCACTATTACATATATGCCATCACACTCATTATTCAATTCTGTGAAGATTTCAAATACAGTTTCTGGTTTTTGTTACCTATGCCATTGAATTCAGACAGAGGTCGCATATTGACATATACTTGTCTGTGCATCCTCACAGTATTTCCAAAAGTTCTAAATGAGATTCTGTAGAAGATTCTGTAGAAGATTGAACCATTGGTTAAAGAAAATATTGATTTTATTGTGATAAATCCACAATTTTCTTCATTTGAAAGATATTTTGAGGCCAAGAAAAATCATTATATTTCCTTCTTATCTTCAATTCCTACAACTTTCAATATTTGTCTATTTTTCTGGTACGAGGTTTTGTAAATATTTATTTGGTCTGTTGTCCTCATCTTTGTTATCATCTTCAAAATGTTTCGGCCATTGTATACTATGGCCTTCTTCAGGTGATAGGACTTTCTAACCAAACCCTTTATTTCATCCACCATGATAGATTGTTCTAGTTCTACATGCCATGCCTCTTCCAGATATATCAGCATTAGTTATTTCCCTTTTAGTAATTCAATTCTCAAATTTTTTTTTCTATGACCTAGTATTGAACTCACAACTCTTTAGGTTAAATCACTGGATTATTTCAACCCATGCTTTTATCCACTGGGCCATGTGTCCTTGGTTATTCCTACCACATTCTTATCCATTCATATCATTGATTGATTGATTTGGTTTTTTTTTTACAGTTTATCAACCCTTTTCAAGTTATTTAAAGCCAGAAAATATTTTTAGATTGTAAGAAATTTTCGGAGATAATAATAATTTTACTGATAGAAGTCCTACTGATTAACACATTTCTGGTGGGAAGAGGTGAATTTTTTTCATTTTAAAGTTATGAGATATTTTAAGAGGAGGATAAATTATATATATATATATATATATATATATATATATATATATATATATATTATATTATATTATATTTCCTCCTTATCTTCTACAGCCTATCAACCTTTTTCAAATTATTTAAAATCAGAAAACATTTCATTTTTAGAATATAAGAATTTTTCAAGATAATAATAATTTCACTGATACATATCTTACTTAACCCATTGCTGGGGTTGAAAAGGTGGATTCATACCTATCTCAAGATTATTTGCACATAAATTAACATAACAAACTTGAAGAGAATTGGAACATTACACAACCTGCACATTCAAGCTCACAGGATATGGTATTTCCAAGCAGTCACCCATCAAGTTACTGACCAGGCTTGATGTTGCTTATCTTTGCTGATTGTACAAGAACCGATGCCATTCATATCACACAACTCAATCATCATTACTGTTTTGATTGTAACCCTCTATCTTGAGTAGTTCTCAAGCATTGTAAATTTTGTATTAAAAAAAAGTGTAATAGTCTAAAATATATGTAAGAATTGATACTTACACAGTGACTGCACTTGCAAACTCTCTGTTAATGCACTGATTTTCTTTCAGTTTTTAATGGAAATAGCATGAGCAAAGATACCTGCATTAAGTACTCTCTAGTGTTGAAACAGAACAGATGTTAACTTGTATTGATTGACCAATCATTTGGTGAGATTTTCTTTTCAGTAAAAGTATCATGTAATCTCAGAGGTGATCAGTTAATGTTTACAGAGTGAGTCTTGGATTTCATTTAACTGTTTTTTTCTCTTCTTGCACTGCAACATGGGGCATTAATTAAGAAAAATGGCTTTATACATTTACTTACTGTTCAAAGGTTCTGTGGCAAGATCACTCCAGAAACACACACGTACACTGTTCACCGTTCCACTGCATCAAGGCTTGAAATGTAATACTGATCAGTCAATAGGGAGGTCTTTAGTTACTAAATAATTCATATTGGCTGTTGTTGATTTTGTTTGTTTTTTTCATGGATGCTGCTTGGCCTGTTATCTAATTCATTGTTAAGTTAAGATACTACAATTTATTTTAATATTTTTCAGCAATAGTATTTTAAGCTTTTTGTTTCAGGTTCTGAGATTAATCCTGTGGCACTATTCCTTACCAAAAACACTATCCTCAGATATTTGGAGAAAAATTTACTAATTTAAAAATGTCTGTGTAGCAGAATAAATTAACAGTGAAAAGTTGGCAGGGTATGGTTAATTTTGTTTAGTGGCATATCAATCACTATCGATTATCTAATATTGAAATCTAAATAATTCGAACACAATTTTATGTCTTCAACTAAATATATTTTGAACTCAATTATATGCCTTCAGCTACAGTTAAGATGTATCACAGGTCATGTATTGTTGGTCTTTTTTCTATAAAAATGTATTACTGGGATTTTTACTATAAAAATGTATTTTTATTCACTTATAGTGCTTTTGTTTGATTGGTGGGGGCTCACTATTTGCACATAGGTGGGACCCTAACAGGTGCTACCACCTCAGGTCAGAGTGAACCAGGGAACAACGGCAATTCAAGGTGGTTCAATGCTCCTCAAAACCTCCAATCTTCCAATCAGGGGCTTGCTGCCAGATGTAGTTTATTGTCATACCCAGGAGACAGTGGAGAACAGTAAATGCCTAGTAGAAGGTTGAAGATATGGACGGCCTTATTCTTCTTGCATATGAGACTAGATCTTTCCTGGGATTATATAGACTGATTTGTTCATTTTCTATGACCTATCAAAGCATTACAGGTTATTTAAAGCCAGAAGACATTTTTAGATTGTAAGATTTTTTCTTTGAGATACTAATAGCTTTGTAGTACAAATCTTGCTAATTAACCCATAGCTAGGCGAGAAGAGGTGGCTTTGTCAGAGTTAACTCTTCCTTAATTCCTTAATTGTTCACTAGGGGGTGCTCTCCCTAAACTATAAATACTGGGCAATTTCTTTTCTCATTCTCTTTATACTTTGCATTTCAGCAGACACATTTAAAATGTGATCTGTTGCAGAGATCTGTGTGTTTGCCCACTTGTAGGAAAATGCCATGAAACACACATACACATATGTACGCACATTCACCAAAATACAAACTCTTTATGTTCACACACAAACACAAATGTTAATGTTTATGTCCATTGTAAATTTTGTTGTTTCATACATATACTTTTATATATATATATATATATATATATATATATATCGGTCTTGTTTGTTTTCTTTACGTCTTCGTTTGGACTCAACTTGAGTCTGCCATATTCTTGTAGTTGGACCTTCTTCTAGCAGGAATAAACACATATGTTCCTAATTCAAACAACACATAAACCGACATGGTCCTCTACAGCTTCCCAAGTGTATGTGCACATAAATGAATATAACAAACCCAATAAGAACTTGAAGTCTGCTCTCCAATTAACAATTCCACTGGCTGCATATTGATACTTACAGCACCTGGTATTCCCAAGTGGTAACCCATCTAGCTACTGACTAGGCTCAAATTTGCTTAACTTCAGTGATTGTATGTGAAACAGTATTTCAAGGTGATGTATCGGTAAGCTTTCTGGAATTATGTCCCAGAGCAGTATACTATATGTGTATGATAGATGTGGGCAATGAAGAATTGAGGTGATTTGCAATTAAGGCTATTCAAATGAAAACATTTATTTTATGAAGAATACACTGTATTAAAAAAAAAAGAAGCTCAGCATGCATTGGGCACTACTACTGCAGTTTCTGTAGCAAGTATTTCTGGCTGAAAGATTTTTTTTCACTTTGTTTTAAATTAAATTTAAATTTGAACAAGGGAATGACTCACATCCAAAATATAAAAGAAGAAATCCAGAAGATGGAGGTCACATCAGCAAGATCATTGAGTAATATTGAAATGAATCATTTTTTGCCACAAATTATAACACTGATTTAAAATCAGTCATCATTTTCTTACAAAAAAATGTGTGCCTTGCAGCAAGGCACAGGTAATTCGGCTAGTCACTAATAATGAATTGTACCAAATAAAAAAAAAACACATCTATTGAAGACTACCAACACCAGCAAAAACTAAAGTGGAGAATACATATAACTCAAAAAGAGAATAATTACATAATGAGGATTTTAGCATTCAATACAACTTCAAATAAAAAGCTAGAATGGATCAATTATATAAAGAACAATAATAGTAGACTTGAGAAACTTATTTTCCTTTTGTTTTAAGAAAAAGATTTTATAAATTTCAACTGAAAGTAGGCCTTGCTGCTCATTCAATGTTTCATTATAAAGAAACAGCTAATATTAACATTACCATTTGAAATGAAGAGAACAGATAATACACTTTGATCCCAGTTCAATGGCCAGGGAGTGCAGTAACTTGATTAACACTACTTGGTTAATGAATGCTGAATTTTTCCTTATAAGCAAACGGCTAATATTATCACTAGCATTACCATATTATACTGGAAGGAAACATATTCTGTCTTCTAGAGATAAATGTAATTTGGTATGACAGTTTTAATCAACTCCAAAACAACAACAAAGGGTCTTAATGGAAGATACAGGTACAAAGTACCTAAATATTATTATTATAATCATCTTCCATAAAATAGAAGATGTTTGTGTGTGTGTCTGTGTGGGTGTATGCTATTTATGCATGTCTACATTTCTTGACTGATTTCAATGAAATTGTGCATACATGTTGCAAATTTACCAAGATCAAATTTTCAATCTCCCCACCTCCGGGTTTTCGCAAAACTGAAAGTCGACACAACTTTTTGCAAAAACCAAGGCAAAGTTACAAACAAATTTTTTACTGGATTAGCTGATGTTCTTAACACTTCATGCAAAAAATCGCTCATGTTACAAGGTTTATGTAGAGTGCTTGATAGTTTTCCTGCAACATTGGCTTTACAGAATAATTTGCAAAAAACTGTGAAAAAATCAGGTTTTTCATACTACTTAAAATAAACAGGTACATTGACTAGTCTATAATAAAGCAAATATTATATCAACAGAAGTCAGTGCTTCAAAATTGTAATAAAAACTGATCTGCTGGGAACTGCACACAAAAACCAAGATCATAGTTTCAGAGAAATGTTATCTTGTCATGTGAGACAAAAATTGAATTATTAGGTCATAATGACCATCGTGACATGTGAACTGATTGACTGATTTATTGATTGATTTGTTTTTTATGGCTTATCAACCTTTTTCAGGTTATTTAAAGCCAGAAAATATTTTTAGCTTGTAAGAATTTTTGGTAGATAATAATGATTTTTACTGATACAAGATCTACTAATTAACTCATAGCTGGGAGGAAAGCATGTGGATTCAGATATTTTCCAAGTGTATTTGCATTTAAGTGAATGTAATGAATCTGACTGGAATTAGAACTCTGCTCTGCAGTTTCTAATTTCAAGGCATTACAACATTATCCATTACAACATCTGTGCACCCAATCTTACAGCAGCTGACATTCATAATTGGTCACCAATCTAGGTACTAACCAAGCTCCAAACTGCTTAACTTGGTGATCATAAAAGAACAAGTGTTCCAATGTGATATGGTTGTAAGGAAAAAAGATGGTATTCATTCTGAGGAAAAACACCTCAAGCATGATGCACAGGTTTATCAAAATTATGTGGTTACAGAAGATACTGGTGCACTTTGCAGAAAAAATGAAATTATGAGGAACAAAAATTGGATAAATATATATTGAAGTAACATCCTACAACATAAGACAGAAAGTTAAAGCTTGATCACAAATGAATCTTCCAAATTGACGATGAGTGTCAAGCATACATCTAAAGCTGTGACAAAATGGCATAAGGACAACAATGTCTGGAGTAACCATGACCAAATCCTGAAATATATATATGGATGATACTGAAAAATATGTCTAAGCAAAGAGGCCTACAAACCTGACTCATTTACAGAAGTTTTGCCAGGAAAATTGAGCCCAAATTCCAGCAGCTTACCATCATGGAAAGATACCCAAAACATTGAGCTCAAGTTTAAAATCACTGCTCCCAAATACTTATTTTATATAAATTTTGGATCCTCTGAAAAGATGATGAAAGAAATAAAAGTGGAAATAAATAATTTGTTATTTCTCATTCTTAAAATAAAATATTGATAATATAAAACAAGGAATATTTACTTCAGCTGAATATTAAGAATTTGAAAAACTGAGTTTAGATTTAATCGGCTAAGGTGTAGGTGTCTGAGTTGAACTGTATACAGAGCAGAAGATCTGCCAAGAAAGGTCAAATGTTGTAAGAAACTGGATACTAGTTCACTGTGAATGATTTAATGATTAAAGTATTTACTATACACTTTTGTCTTAGTAAGTTACTTCTCTTTAAAATTAAAGTAGTATTTTTTGAAATCATAATTATGATCACACTCATTACAGTGAGCAACTAATGCCTCAAGTGTTTGGTTTTGTAAATGATGCCTTTTGTGTTCATATAAACTTTTATTTAAATTCCTCAGGGTTTCTCCTATGTTTTTATTGTGGCAATTATTACAGGAGATCGAGCAAATTCCTTCTTCATGTTTTAGATTATTATTATTTTGTTTTGTATTAATTATCTTTTATTGCTCTAAATGTAGTTGTTAATTTTTTAATTATTAAGAAAAATAGGAAGAATCTTCTCAGGAAAGGTCAAATGTTATAAGAAACTGGATGCTAGTTCACTATGAATGGTTTAATGATTAAAGTATTTGCTATACATTTTTGTCTTTAAAATCAAAGTAGTATTTTTTGAAATCAAAATTATGGTCAAACTCATTTTTAGATTATTATTATTTTGTTTTGAATAAATTGTCTTTTATGGCTCTAAATGTAGTTGTTACATCTTACAACATTTCCTCTTTCTTGTTAGAATCTTCTATTATCACAATGTGAGATACTTAATAACAAAAATTTTAAAAGCAGAAACAATAAAAAGAAACTAAATGAAATTTTCTAGATAAGAAACAAAGACACAACTAAAAAAAAAAATTTAAAGGTTGGAAATTTCAGCATCCCAACATTTTCAGCATTTTTTACCTGCATCTAATTATAACCAATTTTTCCCTCCCCTTAAGGTACGTGTGTTGTTACATCTACAGAAAAATCACTCAAGTCTCATGAAGTCCTAAAGAATGAAATGCATCAAACAAAAAAAATTTCCAGTTTGTCATTAATTTTCCTAATATTAGCAACTCAAATACATGTAACCATTAAAAAGACACATGGCACAAAGGTGTTGGTTACATCCAGTGACAGCACACAAAGAGTGTGAGTTCAATACCCAGTTAAGGCAGTGGAGAACTTTCAGAGGGAAAATTAACAAGAGATAACTGATAACTGACATCCATTAAATATGGCACGTGGAACTAGAACAGTCTACCCCAGTGAGCGAAATAAAGGGTTCAGTTCGACATTCCAACCACCTGAAGAAGGCCGGAGCATACAATGGCCGAAATGTTGTAATAAATATGACGACAAAGATGAGGACAATAGTCTGAATAATGTAAATAATGTACATGATACCTCATCTCAGAAATATAGACAGACATTAAAAATAACTTTTATATTAATAAGAAAAAATTTTAGATGGAAAATCCTTTCAAGGACTTACTGTTGTTTACATTTAGGGAAGGAAACTGAAGCTAGCAGATATAGATTTATAGAAGTCCCAATGAGAAATATGCTTTTTTTAATAGGTAATTCAAACCTTGCTCTGTCAGGCTGGCTCCATGGCTGAACTGGTAGAGGTACACTATGGTTCAAAAAATGATTTCTCTGACAAAAATAGAGATGCAGGTTTGATTCTTACTAGAGGCAAATTTTTCTTTAGTAGAACTTTTTAATCTAGGCCAACTGTTTAACCCTCTGAGCCCTGTCTTCCTGAACAATTTTTAACCATTCTGCCTGAGCACCTGAGTCAAAATTCGCAAATAATTGGTATGCAATGTTTCACAGTAGATATAAAAATAGTTACAAGTGTTTAGCCACCATTCAACTGGTAGCTGGGCATTACGTCATTTTTCTCTACCACTGTTCAACCGGTGGCTGGGCATTAAGTCATTATTCTCTACCACAGGTAAAATGGTGGTCAGGACTCAAAGGTTTAAGAAAATAAGAAAAAACAGGACAAAACACAACAAACAAAAAAAAAATATTATTATAACTACTATAGGAAATAATACACATGTGAGTGTATGCTTATATTTGTCTTTTTTTAAATAGGTGTGTATGCATTATCACCGAATATTTATATACAGGACTGCTATGAGGGTCTTGTGCCCCCCCCCCCCCCACACTGAATCTATGATATAGGACCTTCTACTCTACAATATCTCAATTTTCATAAGGTAATATTCATATAGAATACAAATTTTATTGTAACATAATTATGTGCACTAATGGATTATATGCAATATAAGTGAACCATTTAACTAGAAAAACTGAAAATGAATACGCATCTAAATAGAAATTAAAGACATGTCATAATAGATCATTCCATATTAAATAAATCAACAATGTTTTGCGGTAATTTT